TCTCTCTCTCTCTCTCTCTCTCCCTCCCTCCCTCCCTCTCGCTCTCTCGCTCTCTCGCTCTCTCTCTCGCTCTTTCTCCCTCTCTCTCGCTCTATGCCTCCTCGCTACGGCCGGGCGGGGTGGCCGGCAATGACGTATATTCGCGCGCGATCCTCGACGAAATCTAAGATCGGCGCGGCGCGGCGGTATGTTATGCGGGGATCCCGCGGGAGATAAACCGCGAAAAAAGAGGGGGATGGATTGGGTGGGGCATTTGAGAGATTGCGAGCAGCGAACGGCCGGAAGATTCCGAGTATCTATCTTTTGTTTTTCCCTTCGCGACCCGAGACGGCGTTATTGTCCCTCGGAGTCCTTCCGCGAGAGCCTCGCGCCCGAAAATAAAACGCCGCGCAAGCCCACCTGCACAAGGGGAGGGGGATGTTGGGGGGGACGAGGATCAGGACCTGCTGGCGGCCGGCCAGGCCGTCAAACGCTCGTCCCGCCCGGCACCGCCGCGTTACCCGGCGCTCAGTTACGCGGAATCAGTGGATAACGACCAGTAAAAGTCGTATCCTCGCGTCCGCGGGGCAAGGGAGGCGGAGGGGGCGTCCTCGCGGGTCCTTTCCTCCCGCCGCAGCCTCGGTGACAGTCGCTTCCGTAATAAGGAGAGGCGGTTAAGGACGGCGGGCGGCAGGAATCGCCCCTTCAGGGTTAAGACCGCGGGCGCGTGCTCAGAAACCGCCCGACGTGTTGGGGTCGCCGGTCGTTGTCCTGCTCCTGCGATCTCCTTAGGCTGCTCCCTTGCGTTTACCACGTCGCGCCCCCGCGGTGGCACTGTCTGCACTGTCCTCGTGCGCGGCACCCTGCCCTGACTCATCATCCCCGTCACAGCGTCACCGCTCCTCAGCAGCCGGGGGGGGGGGGGCGTCGACGGCGTTCCGAAGAGAGCGCTAAATTATGGGGGAGGTTATCACCATTAGTCGTCGGGCTGAAGCGTGGATTAAAGCCGGCCTTGCCGTGGAGAAAAATGGACCGCGGCGGTGTGCACTAAAACTGGGAACAATGGCAGGGATCTGCTGCAAGAGGGGGCAGCTCCATCAGTATCGCAAGGCCGAGGAGGTGAGTGACGACGTGCAGAAGCAGAAAAGAACTCGCGCCGCGGCCGGGGTGGGTCGGCAACCCTTACCGCCGGTCAGCACGCTCGGCGCGCTGCCTGGCGTGCGCAGCTAACGAGGTGTTGTTGGTGTTGCCCCGCGGACCGTGGCCGTCCGCACAGCATGACTTGGGCCCGCTGGTTATCTATGGCAGCTGCGGCCAGAGGACGGCCGAGGAGGCCCACCGGCCCACCAGGGAGGCTTATAGCCTTAACAAGTGGCGGCGGTCCCTCCGCTGTCCTCGTGCCCGCCGACGTGCACGGAACAACGAAAACAACAACGCTGTCTGGGCGGGAAGATACGGGGGCTCCTGCTTCGCATACTGTTAATCTTGTCGTAAGCCCGCGCTAGATGCGGAGTACACAAGGCGAGCGGTGAGGTCCCGGTGCCCCCCGAGTACTTCCTCGTTGGTGTTGAACTTACTTCGCCCAGGTGCCCCTGCGCACGAGCGCGTGGTGTGGCGGCGGGCTGAGGACGCCGTGGTGGCTCAGGGACCGGCTCCGCGCCCCGCGCCCCATGGCCGACATGCCTCGTCGGGCACCAGCTCGGGGGACGACGAGGAGGCCAGCAGCGACGCCGGGGGAGGGTGCACGACGGCGGCGAACGCACACACAGATACAAACACAGGGGTGGTTGACGGCGTGCTCGCGGTCACGCCGGGGAAGAGGGTGCACAGGCACTGCCGGGGACGCGCCTGTCACGCGTGGACGCCAACACCGTTCGCTGTGGACCGGGACCGCGCGGCGCCACTTTGTGCCTCGGACTGACTGAGAGGCGGCCGCGGCGCGGCTCGGCGGCGTCGAGCACGGCGGCGTCGAGCCCGCCACCACCACCACCACTCCGCGCCCCCCCGGCCCCCACCCGGCTGCCACCCACGGCAGCTCCAGCCGCGGAGAGAGAGAGGGAGAGAGAGACAGAGAGAGGCCTCAGGTTCTGATAATAATTGTTCCGCACGTCGAGCTGAGCTCACCTCGCCTCGTTCACGCCAGCCGAATTACCTGAACGCAGAGAGGCGCGGCGGGGGTGTTGGCGGGGGCGGCGGACACACACACACGCTCACATGACGCGTGATGATGAGCAGGACGGCCGGACGCCAGCAACGCTGCCGACCTTCCATGACCTACCGCAGTAGGAGCGCGACCCACAACTGTGGCACTATTTATTGAGCCGTCGCCTCCTCGTCAGCAGCAGCAGCCGGCGCCCTTACACTGCCGCGGCGGCGCCTTTGTCAGCCCTTCTTCCCCCACCTCCACCCCCCGGTGACCCGCGTCCGATTATCACTCGCCGGCGCCGTCCCGCTAATTCATTTATTTACTCCTCGCGGACGGAGGACATCGGCCACGTCGAGGTGCACGAGGCGCCGCCGGGCGGGAGGATCACCCCGTCCTTGTCGGGAGCACGGCGCAATCCACAACAGGGGAGGGTGGGAAGAAAGGGTGGGAGTAGGTGAGGTTAGGTGAGGTTAGGTGAGGTTATGTTAGGTTAGGTTATGTTCGGGGATCGTCTTCAAAGCACGTCCGTTTTGCTCAGATCCATTCGGCAAAAATTACGGGAGCTCAGCGCCTGCGAGATTCGGGGTAGGCCACCCCGCAGTACTCGCATGCATTGAAGGCAATATGTTGCATACGCATCGGGGGCTACGAGAGCTTGCTCGGGCCAAACTTCACAGGATCGTGACGGAAAACGACGGGGGTACTTTTGGACTGCTCCTAGGTTGGTTCTTCGAATTGTAAGGTAGTCCGCGACGGTATATCTCCAGCAGGGTGCCGCTCAGCAGCAGCAGCAGCTGCTAGCTGTTGCTCCCGCTGGCCGCGCCTCTGGCAGCCCGCGGGGCGGCGGCTCGTCGACGCGTCCCATCGCAGGACATGACTCGTTGAATAATAATAACATGAGCTGTGCTCAGCTCGGCAACGCTTCGATATCAAGGCCGGGCCGGGCGTCGAGTGAGCGGCTACTACTGCTGGCCCGGGATGGGGTGCCGCAGGAGCCGGACCCAGCCAGGGAAGGTTGACCGGTCCGGCTGCCGCACACCGGCATGGAGTGAACAGATCCTGCCCCAAAATTCCCACTCCCATTAGACAACGGCGGGGGCCACCGGTCGGGCCTCGTTGAATTAATTATCATCATTTACGTTCTGGGTGAGTTATACATAGCTCTGTAAATTAAGAGACGCTGAGCCGCTGGGCTCAGCGTTGGCGAAAATGCAAAGCCATAACAACTCGATCATTGCAGCTGAGGCCATTACTCAAGATGGTGCGACAAGTGACCGCCCCGCCCCGACCCGCCCGGGCAGCTGGCCGGCTAGCCGTGGGTGCTCCCGAGCCATAATGGCTTTTTCTGCATCTGCATGATTCGGCACCGCAATAAGCGGAAACCTCCCCGGGGGGCATGGGGGGTGGAAGTGGGGGGGTGCACACTCATCTGAATGGGGGGGAGGGGGGAAGGTATGTCCCACTGACACGCTGCCAGCCCCGCAGTGGGGGTCAGGTGCGCGGGGGTGTGTCCTCAAGGTAAGGAGAGTGAGATGCAGTGCAGCTTGTTTGTTGGCACGTCTTCGTTTTATGTGCTACCAGAGATAAACCGGCTGAGCGGGGCCCCTCCCCCTACTCGCCTTGGGGCCGAAGCCTCCCTGCACACACACACTCCACATACACGCACGTGTGGCGAGCGCGTGCGCACGTATGTGTGCAAAGTTGTGAGCGAGGATGTAATCAGAGTTGAGCTAGCACAATTTCTTTCCATGTTTTTATACGTTGTCGCATAGCGGGAGAGATTGACAGCCGACCCATTGAGTATCGTGTGTAAGAGATTCGCCGTTCGTTTCGCCCGTCCACTGTTGGCCGTGTCGGTAGATCTTTTTCTATGAACATCTCCCCCCCCCCCTCTCTCTCTCTCTCTCTCTTGCTCAGCGGGCACGCGAGGCGGCGGAAGAGTACAATAACTCAATCAGGCAGCTGCCGCTGAGATGCAATCCCAGCCGGCGGCAATCATCCGCCCGCCGCCTGCCCCTCGTTCGAGCAGCCAGAGCAACCGAACACAAAACAATTAATCGACGATTTAAAAAGGCAAAACCGAGGAATCGCGCGAGAAGCG